TTCAATTAAACATCAAAACAACCATTAAACACTACAAATAGTAACCCATTATTTAAATATCAAAAATAACAACATAAGCACAGGTAGTCCTCACTTAATGACCATTCATTTAGAGATGGTTCAAAGTTACGATGGCCTCGGAAAAAGTGCTTTTTACTTGCACTTATGACTGTTGCAAACTTTCACATCACTCTCTGTGGTGACTTCATCGCAATTTGTGACCTTTTTTATAACAGTTGTTAAGCAAATACTGCAGTTGTTAAGTGAATCACATGGTGGTTAAGTGAGTCATGTGGCCATTAAGCAAATTCCAGCAAAAAACTCTATTGGGAAAGCTGGATTTGCTTAATGGCCATGTGATTCGCTTAACAACCGTGGTGATTCGATTAACGACCATCATAAAAATGGTCGTAAAATTGGGTCTGGTCATGTGGTGACTTGCTTAATTACCACCCTGCTTAATGACCAATTTTCTGGTCCCTATTGTGGTCATTAAGTGAGGACTACCTGTATTATAAATTAATCCATTACACCCAATTAAACATTACCATAAACAACTATCATCAGCCAATCCCAATCAAAAAACCCATTAGACATCATCAGAGATAGCAACCCATGATTAACCATGATCAAATAAAGCAATTTTGTATTTTTTCTTCTTTCTCCCAGTGATCTTTAAGACCCACAAATAAGGTTCTAACATCTGCTTTCTCATAGTCTCTTGGTCTCTTCTCTAGAAATTCTTCTCATCTTTATCAAAGTCCTTTTGTAATTCCAGTGTAGTAACTCCAGTAGGTCCCTTATATTCCAATATAAGAAAATAATCCACATTGCTCTTTTTATTTATTATTTGAATATCTTTTAAATTTTTTAAGTCATCATCCAATTCTATTTGTAAATCAATATTTCCATCTCTTTCTTATGAGTTGTAATTTTTAAATCCACCTTGAAGTCCATTTCAGTTTTATTCAATGGGGCTTGTTCCTCTTCAATAACACCTTTTGGTTCCATTTTAGAGTTAAATAGCTCAAAAACCTCTTGGACCCAAATGTCAAACATTTCCTTTAAAGTAGCCATCTGGTGCCCTCTAGTGTTCAACCTTCAAAATCTTCTTATCAGCTCAAAATATAAACAAAAGAACTTTTCCCACAACAGAGGGTCCTTTTAATTAACTTCAAAGTCTTTCTTTAATTCAAATTCACCTGAACCCTT